CATGAGCAGCTGACTGGCTGTTGAATCAGCCTTCTGGAATACCACCGATCAGCTGTTCCAGGCTGCGGGGATTGCTGCCGCCCATCGCTGCTGCCTCCATGCACCCCATTTTCTGTCTCCTCACGTCCTGTTTTGGGCCTGTTTCCAGGCAGCAGGGATCGCCACTGCCACTGATCTCTGCTAAACGATCAGCGGCAATCACCACCACCTGGAAATGGGGCACGCAGAGGCTGAAAACAGGGGATACAGAGGCCAAAAATGGGGTGCACAGAGGCGGCGATGGGCGGCAGTGATCCTCGCAGCCTGGAACAGCTGATCATCAGTATTCAGAGAGACCAATCAAACGGCTAATCAGCTGCTCATGCTAAATCAGGCTGTGCTGAAGCTGACCAGGCTGTTTGCTGTTTGCTGCAAGGAGACAAATTGCTGGGAGGCAGAGATAGATTTTTTTTCTTGTTTTCCTCCCCAAAAGCTAGGTGTGTCTTATAGTCTGGAGCATCTTATAGTGCAAACAATACGGTATTAAATAAAATGTACACAGCTACGAGGTAGAGTATTTTCTTATTTTCTGACTGAAAATACTTCCTCCCTTTTCCAGCACCTTAAAGCCACAGGACATGAAATTAATTTTGAGGGTACCAAATTAATCTCCAATACTGAACACTTCAACAAGAGAATAATCAGGGAAGCCATCGAAATAGAGAAACACCCCCATAACATGAATAAACGGGATGATACCTCCCGCCTACTAGACATCTGGAAACTAGCCCTTATCAACAAACGAGTCCCAGCCACGAAAACCAACACCGGATCCAAAACAACACATGACACCGCCACCAATCTCCCTCACCAGACTCAAACCCAAACCCACCCCATAGACAAAAGGCAACCACCATCCAGAAACCAGACCACGGCTGCATCACCAGCTGCCACACACACCGACCCCCAAACCAAGCAAACTGACACATGCCATGAACACATAGCCAGACCTCAAACTCTGAGTCAAACCAAAACCCGGAAAGTTACATCACAGCCACCCGCTAAGGATATCACATCACGGAACTCAGGAGGTTACCCCACAAAACCTCAGGATGTTACAACACAGCCAACGACCCAAGAGATTACAGCACAAGATCCAGGATGTCACAACAATAGAACTCAGAAGGTCATCACACAGCCCATTACCCAGATCGTTACAACACAGGAAATTACAGCACAAGACCCAGGATGTCACAACAATAGAACTCAGAAGGTCATCACACAGCTCATTACCCAGGTCGTTACAAGACAGGAGGCTGATAGACATACAGCCAGCACCTCAGCCACACAGGTTCTTACGAAAAAGCCAACCATCTGCAAACATCAACTCCATCAACCAATCAAGAAATAACAACACAGCCAACCAGCCCGCTTACAACAGAGCCAGTACACCACACCTACCCACCAGTATTTATAGAGAGACGGCAGCTCTGATCACGCTTTCCTCGCACAAGCACGAAGCCAAAAGCACCAGTCTGAAGATGGTGAGTGGGACCTCGTCAAAACGTTGCCAAGATACTCTCAATCTTACATGGGAAAAGACCCGAACACGCCAAGACATACATACATACATACATACATATATATATATGGTATTCAGCTTTGTTCGGGTATTTTCCCACGTCATTGTAGTTGTGCTTTTAAAGTTGTAGCAACTACAATGACGTGGGAAAATACCTGAACAAAGCTGAATACCATACATGTAAGTATCCGCGAAAACTTAAGAAAACAAATTTTATATATATATTATATATGTATATATGTATATATATACATACACCATATATATGGTATTTAGGTTTTTTCAGTTATTTTCCCACATCTTAATAGTTGTGCTTTTATTACAGCGACGTTTTGGCAGAATCTCATCTGCCATCCTCAGGCTTGTGTATTGGGTTCTTTTTAATCATGTGTGTCAGGCTTGGCAGCTGTTTTTTGTTTTTTGCCCCTCTCCTCTTCACTCCCCAGACAGCTGAGGAGGCACACAAAACAACCTGGAGCTTTTCCCGCCTTATTTTGCTCTTTCGGCTTACCTTCCGCAGCAAAGTCAAGATGACCAACCATGTCAGATTCCCACCACCTTTTCCCCCCCACACACACTCCTGGGGACTGAGAGAGAGAGACAGAAAGAGAAGAGAGAGAGAGAGAAATGAAAGAGAGAGAATAAGAGCAAAGAAGTGATGTCGGTTTGGCCATGCCCACCCACCCATATGACCCCCAAGCCGTTTTTATATTAAAAATTTATATATTGCAAAGTATACACTTGGATGGATGAATTTAAAACAGGAAGAATGAAACTGTTGGAAATGAGGAACTGAAAGTAATATTCACAGGTATTTAAGGAAGTGAAGTTAGTGAAGTTGTGAAGCGTGTATGTGGTTAGAAGTATAAAGGATAGAGTTGAAGATCAGCTTGGGGCCCTTTGATTTATGGCAATCCTTGCAGGACCTGCTATGTGTCATTGGACCCCATTGCAATGGCTTATTAATGTAAGTGTATTACTGCTATTATTACTTTTATATCTATTCATTTCTTATGTTCCAAATTATTAGAAACAATAAACCTCTGATCTTAAAGTAAGAATTTGTTTGTGTTGCTGTCGTTTCCTATTGATATTTTTTATGACATCATGAAGCACAAAGTACTTGGGAGACCCATAAGGCATAGCACTTTTGAAAACTAAATACCAGGAAACGGTGTGGCTTACAAGGACAAAAAAAAATTCTGTTAAATCAGGAACATAAGCCAGCTTGGGAGCAAAAAGTTATTATTATTCTCTTTCCCCATTTCTACCCAAGAAACTGCATGTGAACTTTTGCGAGAGGTACAAACAATTATTTCTAACCTGGAGTTTTGAAAATGAATCAAGGGCTGAACAATTTCCCTGCTATTATAAATGGTGCCTTCTGTCTTACTGTATTTTTAAAGGAATTAGTACTGTACTGTTCTGAAAGATTAGGTGATTTAGATCAGGGGTCCCCAAACTTGGAGCTATGCTGGCTGGAGAATTCTGGGAGTTGAAGTCTACAAGTCTTAAAGGTGCCAAGTTTGGAGACCTCTGATTTAGATACTGGGATGAGTCTAATGAATCTGACTGTAATCCTGAGACTTTAAAGGAACAAGATCACTCTGAAATGTTCTTTTGGCCAATAGAGTAATAGCTATTATTAATGATGTGCAAAATGGTCTTCTCCGATTATTCTGGAAGTTTTTTGAGCTAAAAATTCTTTACTTCAAACTAGAAAAGCTTTCTGAACTATAGTTTAGAACAGGGGTTGCCAACCTTTTGGACCCTCAGGGACCACCAAACTCATAATTTTAAATCCCAGGGACCACTAACCGGTTCTGTGGGCATGGCCTAATTTGTGAGTGTGGCTTGGTGGTTATGTGACTGCCGGGGCATGGCTTGTATGTAAATATTATAAATATTTATATAAATATTGATTTTTTTATAAAAAAGCAACTTTTACCCAAAATCAGGCAAAGCAGGCAGGCAGATTGAGTTGCTCACAGAATCACAGATTCATTCAGTGATCGATCTATCTGCCTTCAGCTAGCTCAGTCTGTCACATAAAATTTGCTTGCAAGCAAGCCCATAAAATTTGCTAGCAAACTCACAAAATGAACTCACAACAAACCATGTATGTAAATATTGAATTTTTTTATTAAAAAAGAGAAACTTTTACCCAAAATCAGGCAAAGTAGGCAGGCAGATTGAGGTGCTCACAGAATCATCCAGTGATCTATCTGTTTGCCATCGGCTAGCTCAGTCTCTCAAATTTGCTTGCCGTGAGTCTGCACTGAATAATAGAACCTTCAGTCCCCTAAGGGAGATTTGGCTGTGCTTAAAAGCAGAGCCGAAGACCTAAAGACTAGCTAGAAAGCAAGAAATCCAACCATTTCCTACTTCCTAGCTATTCTAACTCTCCAGGCACAGCAGAACAGATGATGGTTGGAAAAAGGAAAAATAGCAATTTAGCAGGCAAGTTTGCCAGGTAAGGAGTGAGTGGGCAGGGAGGGTTCCCGCGGGCCATGTGGGCAGCGCAGCCTTGTGTTACTGCACAGCCTGGATTACTTGCTTTGGGGGGTTGCTCTGGGGGTGAGATTTCTCTGTGGCCCACTAAAATTTTCTCACGGCCCACCAGTTGGCGACCGCTGGTTTAGAATACACAACTGTGATATGTAAAAATTACATATTAAGGATTTAACCTATGAAAATGAGAAACATAAGTAATGCCATATTTATCCTATTAATGACCTATGGAATATTACTGGAATATTATATAATCATAAAAACAAGATTGTTTGTGTTCTGTGAAAATGTCAAATTTCTGGCTTAAATATGAAAATGTCAAACTTCTGGCGAAGAACATGTATAAAATCTTCAGCAGGTCACTCTGACCTGGCGGAACTGTATAATGTGCTATTGTCTTGTTTGCTAACATTAAGAAATGCTGATGAAATGCTAACAGGAAAAGATCGCCATGAGAAGGGAGTTTCCTGGACATTAAATAAGTGGCTGGTGTTTAGTGGAAAAGTACCAGTAAATCTAGGTGCTTACGCAGAGAGAGAAACAGGAAAAGATGATGTTAACAAAACCTTGTATGAAAAAGTGTACAAAAGTGTTCACCCTGCCTTTGGGTGAGGTCTCCTTTCTCTTATCTTTGAGAAGGGGTCCTTTAGCTTTTGCAAACGCTAAATAAACACACTTTTACGGTTCCTGGTCTTCTTGTCACTTTTTTGGTATTTATCACAACGGTTGTTTTGCATTCATAATGGGGTGTTTCAAATTAAAATAAGTTTGAAATCAAAACTTCTGAACATATCTCATCACCATTCTACCACTACACCTTGTCCTTTCTGCCAAATGGAATTTTTCACAATCCAGATTTGAAAATAAGGTAGGGTAGGGACAGCTTAGATCTAAGCACCACTGGCAGAAATCAAGGATTGGGACTTACCAGCCACTTATCCCGGGCATAGATGACAGTATTGAGCATGGACTCATAGAAGAGACAGTAGCCCATCCACTCACTGATGATGATGTCAACCTTTTCCACAGGCAACTCCACTTCCTCCACTTTGCCCTTGATGATGGACACGACTTTAGTGGAGGGAAACCACACATTTTAAAATTATGCTTCAGCACAAAAGAAAAATGGAAATCAGTTTGGCAAAGAGAACTTCTTAATATTATTAGCTCAGTCAAACCCAGCACTCCTAGTTGTAATTGTTAAGCAATCTCACAGGTTAAGTGGATGGAGTCCCAGGTAAGAACAGATACTTCATTGGACTGGGTGAGACCTGGCACAGGCTGCGGGCAGGTCTCTCCCTACTTGGGAGCTGAAAATCCTCCCTGCTGAAATCCAAGCAGTACTTTTAAGCTCCAAACCAAGAATCACATGGCCTGCATTGTGCCTTCTCCACCTCCTTGAGGCACCCTGTACTCAGTACCTTACCATGCTACCTCTCTGCTCAGGGGCTGAAAATCCTGCTTGGATTTCAGCTCCTTCCCATATCTGGGAATCAGCTGAAAAGGTTACTTACCTCGGGATTTCAGCTCCATGCCTAAATTTTAGCAGACATGGAGCTGAAATTCTTTTGCAAGCAGCTCTTTTAGCCAGCCCCCAGAAATTGAGAATCCGCTCGGTAGGTGGCAGCATCCTGCAACCTTCCCTATGAGCTTTCCCACTGACTTTCTGGGAAAGCCAACAGAGAAGACTGCAAATCAGGCCTAAAAACAAAGAATGACATGTGGTCATTCTTCCAAGCCTTCTTTATTGCGGAGTTCCCCAATGTTTCCGGCTTTGCAAACTGGGGGGGGGGGGGGGGGGGGGGAGACGGACGACATATGGTTCCATGTGAGGGTCTGGCAAGCACACCTGCCACTCACTTAATTGGAGTGCACGCTCACCCGCTGCTTGTGCAAATGAGAGTGTGCGTTCACTCACCAGCCATTTCTACAGCCCAGCTGCAAACCCATAGCCCACAGATTGGGCACCCCTACTTTATTACTTCCACATCTATAGACAGAATTTTGCCAAATTAAGCATTTTACTATCTGCATCTACCATACACTGAGATTTATTAGGGAAGGGATGGCTTCACCGTCTCACACACTAAGTATCTGAACTGAGTTGTCTCTTATTCCTTTGGAATACCCCCCCTCCCTTGGGAATCCACCTCTTTTAACTACATTCCATTGCACAAATTATGATCATATGGTCATGGGGTGCTTGGGAACCTGTTATAAGCACAAACAGGTTGCCAAGCATTCAGACTGTGACCATATGACCACTGTGGTTTTTTTTATATATATATTTTGCAACAGTCAGAAGTGCTTTACATGAGTCCATTGTTAATTTGAACCTTTGTTAAGTATGGTCTTAAGTTGAGGACTACCTCTAAATATCTTCTCTACAACACTGGCTTTTTGGATACACAGATAAGTGACTCAGAAATTGAGGACATTTTAAAAACTGAATTTACTTACCATGGTCAAGTTTGTTGGCTTTGACTATTTTGACAGCATAATCAGAGATACTGGAGCATTCAATCTATTAGTTGTAGGCATATACAAAGTGGGGAACGGGGTGGGGGGGGTGTAATAGAGAGAGATTTTTCGTAAGATAGCACATTATATTTTTTCTTCCTAAATTAGTAAGAAACCCCCCCTGGAAATACATGTGATGAAATGGTACTAAAGAATGCCAAGTGTTAGCATAAAAACAAATGCTCTCGCTCTCTCTCATGCCTGCCATTGCAAATCTTCATAGAAATAACTAAGGTAGATTTGTACAATTTTACCAACACTAATTTTAATACAGAACTCTTAAACTCTGCTTATCAGACCATTTAGCATTCCATCAAATCCTTTCATCCATTTTGCATCCGAGACTCCATCACAAAACCGAGACCAATAGCATATGAGCATCACACTTACCCCAATGACCTGCTTGGCACCAGCCTTGGCTGCAAACATGCAAAGTATTCCTGTGCCACTGCCAACATCCAGGACCACTTTGTCCTTGAAGAGATGCCGATTGTGAAACATGGAATTTCTGTAGGTCAGTGTGCGGACCTCATCTTTCAGCATTTCCTAAGATGCAGGAAAAAAAACATCAGGGAACTCCCCCAAAATCTATTTACACCCCCGCCCAAAAATGAACAAGACTGGATCTCATTTTTCATATCCCGAGGCAAGATGGGTGGCAAATAAATTTAATAAATTAATAATTAACCACATCCCCACCAATTCTCTCACCTCATGGATCCCAAAGTGAGCGTAGGAATCAAAGTAGTAATCCTTGGAAGTCATCTCTTCTGCTGTTGGTTTGCTGCTGTTTTCCAGCTGGGTGCATGAGACCTGAAGAAAATACAGAAAAAGGCCCAAGTCATTCCAGGACCCCCAGGGATGGGATCCGACCGGTATAACTACCGGTTCTGTCTATTAGCGTCGCGCGCACATGCGCGAGTCGCGTGAGTGCAATTTACCTTATTGAGCTGCCCAGACAGCTGAGCAGTGCTGCGTGCAACTGCGCAGCGGTTGGAAAAGCCCTTTTTTCCTGCTTTTTCAACTGCAGCTGTGTCACGCAAAGCAGCTGCAGTTGAAAAAGCAGGAAATAAAGGTCAGGTAAAAGCCCAGGCAGGGGGGTGGGCCACAAAAGCAGCAGATATAGAACCAGTTCTATATCTGCTGCTCTTCTGAGCTACCGGTTCTACAGAGGTGGACAGAACCAGTAGAAACCCACCCCTGAGGACCCCCTAATATAACTTAAAATTTCCCTTAATTCCATATTTTTAAGTAAACATTTAAATTTGTACTGCTCAACCAATAATTTCATATCAATCAATATGGTCTATATAATGCCTGATTAAATGGATTTTAAAAACACTGGTACAACAATGTGGATTCTTAACAATGTTGTGTGTACAAGAGGCAAAACACAACAAACATCTTTTCAGAGGTGTCAATGTACATATAGTTTATACAAACAAGTATGCCACTTCTTTTAGAATTAGTTTTTTACTCCCAGCAAATTCACGCAACTATTTAGATGACAGCCATAAAGAAAAAAGGAGTATTAGTACCTTAGCTTGTAAAAATTTACACTCATATCACCCTCTCACAAAATATTTGCAGTTTCTGTAGTAACCCTTTATTCAATTCAATGGTTTGGGATTTTTATTTCACCAAGGGAAAACCAGAGTTCCAATTTAGAAGATCTGTCACTGATACTCTTCTGAACATGTCACTGTGCATCTATTTAATGAGGTTGAACAGTCTACAGATATTGCAACAATTCCTTCTTCCCAAGAAACCAAATGTTTGGTTTACAAAGTCATTCTGCATGTATCCTAAAGAGGGGTAGGATTTTGATTGGTGGAGATAATTAACACATTGGAGAGATACAGATGCGGGGGGGGGTTCTGGGAGATTCACAGGCTGCCAATGCAAAGGGATAAGTGGGATTTGTGTCAGAAAGGTGATGGGTGACCCTGCCATTATAATGAGAATTTTAACAGGCAATTTGGAGGGTAAGGAAAAACCATGTGCACTTTCTATGCCTAGGGTGGTCTCAAGACACTATTCTATACTTACTGCTTTTAGGGAACATTCTTTGTGTATGCACTGGGTCTAATTCTCATGTTTAATTTGGTTTGCCCATGTTCTAATAAGTAGCATTAAGTCTGTTCTGACAAGTAGTAGCTCTTTAGGCAGAAGTCTGAACCCAAGACCATTATACAGACATTTTAATCAAACATGTAATGGAAATTCTTGGACATTTATTTATTTTTGTAGTTTTGGAGGTGGTGGTCGGTGGAACTGACAAGTAAAATGATGTGTTAATCCTAAAAATTCTAAACAAATTGGACTGATTTCCAATCTAAGGGAATTTTAAAGGGGGGAAAATTAGTGCCTTTTAACCTCTGATAAACCAAGTTGAAGTTGCTTAGTAGAATTAACTATTTTACCTTCCTCTAATTAAGATTTCCTAGAAGAACAGAGAAAGAAGGAAAAAATATAGCTCAAGCCTATGTAAGACAGGCCATATATCACTGAATAGGGCACATTTTCACAAGTCGCATTTTCAAGCATGTGTCTTAAATTAGGTTGTAGATTTGGAGATGGAATTTGAGCCTCTGTAAAAACAAACTTCTGGGGGAGGGACTATCATGGACTTGGATTAATACATTTCATTTATTACTTAAGAGTTCAGTGCTAGACAATTGCAACATACTGTAACTGCTCCCAGTGTTGAGTGACTGGAAGCTATAGCTGGTGCAGAGAGCAGATGGCTGAATTCAAGGAAATAGGTGCATCAATATTCCTCTATCAATGCAGATCCTGTCTTTTTTCGGGGAAACCATTAAAAACCATCTACAAAGTCACACTGAATTCTAACTGGAATTTTCTGGATTAGAACTCAGTCCTTAAGCCAATCTTTTCTAACTTGGTGCCTTCCAGATGTATTTATATCTAGTCCTCAATTTACGGCTATAACACAGGCTGCCTTTCTTTGTGGCAGTCGTTAAGGAAACCCATTGTTCACTATATGGCATTTTTGCCAAACACTGGAAGTATACACAAGTTCCTGGCAAAAACGTGAATATGGGATAGGCCAGTTGCTGAGTGCCCAAAATGCAACCATATTAAGGGGGGGTAGGAGCATTGGAACTTCAGAACTGGGTCATAACTACCTTTTGGGAGGAGGGGTTATGTGACTGATCGTAAGTCAAGGACTACCTGTATTTATAACTCACAATGTTTCTAACCCAAATGTCCAATAGGGGAGTTGCAATCCAACCAATTTTGAGGGTGTTATAACTGGGCAAAAGCTTTATCACTCACTCAGAACTTCCCATCTTAAACAAGATCCAGTCATCTATTGCCCACTTCAAATAGCTGTGACTCTTAAATTGTTCCTGCTGAGATAGTACCTTTTTCATGATCAGAACCCTCAATTTAAAAAGGTGAATCCACTTTTTTTCTCTGCATCTAGGTGTCTGAAATCCACAATTTTCCAACAAACAGATGGCCTACAAACAATTCATACAATCTTTTCTGTGTTCCTTGTTCTCTGTCCTGGCCACAATATTGCCCACTGAGGTTCTCCCATTGTGTATAACCATTTCACAATATAGTGTCATTGCCTAGTAGAGTGATATAAGCTGATTTAAACTAGTGGTTCCCAAAGTGGGCGGTACCACCCCCGGGGGGCGGTGGGATGCCTTAGGGGGGCACTAAGAGACAAGGGGGCCGGCAGGGGGGAGCTAAGAGGTGGCAGGGGGGCGTTCGAGGTGCCAGCCCTGCAGGTTCATGCATTGACTGTAGTAACACTCCAGAGCTGGCGCCTCCAATGAGAAAGCGGTGTCATGTGCTGCTGCAGCCGCGTTTTATGTGCCACCCCCCGCCTCTTAGCGTCCCCAAGGGGGCCGGCAGAGGGGTGCTAAGAGGCGGCAGGGGGGCGTTCAAGGTGCCAGCCTGCCCTGCAAGTTCACCCATTGAGGCGTCAGCTCTGGAGTGGTGCTACAGTCAATGGGTGAACACTTATATTTGGTTTGCCAGTCACCTGGCCACGCCCAGTCACATGACCAGCAAGTCACACCCTCAAATTAGGCCACGCCCACAGAAATTTGAAACCCACCCCTGGGTGGGGGGCACCAAGGATGAGTTTGTAGCACCAAGGGGGGGGTGGACTTAAAAAGTTTGGGAACCACTGATTTAAACCATCTTATAACTAAGTCTATACGTTACTAGACTGTTGGGGGCTACTGATTATAGAGAGCAGCATTCCTAAGCTAAGGTATAGAAAATACTAAGTATCTTCCTCTTTCTACTACTAGCTTGGCTCAATCACCTGGAGCATGCATGACTACCAGAATATAGTGCCTTATAATTGATGGGGGACTGAGTCAAGTTATATGAAGCCCTTGGCTGATCTCAGAAAGCTAAACCAAATTAGTTGGATGGGATGCCTCAAGAAAACTGCAGGTACAACTGGGAAGTAAAAAAGTATATTTGCGGAAGACAATGGCAAACCATGTCCATATTGTTACCAAAACTTCTACACAGGTTCTCTGTGTAACCTCCGAGAGTTGAGCTCAAGTCTAAAGAGGATCTTGGCTCTACACAGGTAGTCCTTACCTTATGACCACAATTGATCGCAAAATATCTGTTAAGTAAGACATTTGTTAAATGCATTTTATCCCATTTTATGAACTTTGTGGCCTCTGTTAAGTGAATCACTGTAGTTGATAAGTTAGTATGCCAGCGGTTAAGTGAATCTGGCTTCCCCATTGGCTTTGCTGGTCAGAAGGTTGCAAAAGGGGATCACATGACCCCGGGACACAGCAAAGGTCATAAATATGAACCATTTGCCGAGCATCTGAATTTTGATCATATGATCATAGGGATGCTAGAAAGGTCGTAACTGTGAAAAAAGGTCATAAGTCACTTTTTTCAGTGCTGTTGTAACTTTGAATGGTCGCTAAATGAATTGTTGTAAGTCAAGGATGACCTGTATTAAATCCTAACAAGCCATAAGTGCACAATATTTCTTTCACCCAGGTTGTTCAAACTCATCTAGAGGGTACCAGATTGGAGAAATCTGTTTTCAAGGTTAAATCAAATTGTTAAGTCAAATTGCTCCCATATTTGCAAAGCTTTAGGCAAGCCATAGAGATTGTGTTTAATGGATAAGTTTTATCCTCCTCTTTTGATGTTATAAAACTAGGTTTATGCTATCCTTAATTGAGTTTTTTAAAGTTAATATGGCCTTGGGCAAAAAGGGGATTAATATTATAGTAACAGAAAGATGACAACTTGAAATGCATCTCAACAAGCAAGCAATGGTTCACTAAAAGTTATGTCACAACAAAATCTGCTCCTCCCCTTAAAGGTTGTCACAAGACCTCAGCTGTATGGATTCTTTACCCCCAAAAGAGGAGAAAACGGGGAGTCTCTGTGCATTTGGCTAGTGCTAGTCAGATGCTGAACAGACTGAAGTTCTAACTAAAGTGCACCAGCTCCATTTGATGGAAGAGAAATTTCTGGCTCTGGCAGAAATGGATAATTTGGGGCGGAGCTGGCATCCGCGACGATATGGCATGCGATCTTGGAGGTCTGAGATCGCTGCCAATATCTTTGCTCCTGGACGGTCCAATCGGATCTAAACCGTCCCAAAGAGACGGTGAAAGTGAAGAACGCATCCTGTCGATCCCAGGGATACCACAAAGTCCCTGGTAGATCCAGGAGAAGCTCTTCTTGCCAGCGGCAAAGAGGCAGCCATTAAAGCTGCTGAAGTTGGGACAGCTCCAAAACGAAAGAGAACAGAGAGTGTGCCGGTTTGGTGAGAACTTTTTCTTTATTCTAAGATCTGAAACGACACCCTAAGGAAAAGAAAGAATCTGTAAAAGTTTTGACAGAAGTGATTAAGTGGCGATTTTATACAGGAATGTCAAAGTAATGTTTTATTCTCATTGCTGGATTTTCTATACATGATCTTATATTTTGAAACTGGACTGTTTTTTTCTTTTCCATCTATCTTTTTTCTCCTTTTTGATTTTGTAACATTTTAGGCTAGAGACTCCCTTTTAGTTATTTCTCTTTTTTAAATATCTTTTTCTTTCTTTTTTATTAATTCTTATTATATTTTGCTTGGAAAAGGAGGGGGAAAGTGAAAGCACAGAAACTTTGTAACACTGCCAACTAGAGGCTTGGAAATATTCTATTTCTCCTGTGACCAGACAAAGCTGAGAAAGAAAGAACTGAGACTTTTTTTCAAGGACATTGCTATTTGATAAGATGGGAGCATGGGAGAGTATTATTGCAGGTGCTCTTCTGGGTTTCTATCAACAGCTGGAGTCTGGTGTTGAAACTTAGGGGGGGGGAAAGGTGATAAGTTTTTGGAGAAGAGAGTTATAATAAGAGCCTTGGATAATTAAACAAAGTGCAGTGTGCTCTTTTTACTTTTTCTAAGTTGTGCTATCCCTCCTCACCAGCTTTATTTTATTTCATTTTATCTTTTTTTTTTGCAATAGCTATTTGGATCTTTGGCTTTGTTGGAGCTAGTCTTTGTTCTTCTTTGTTTTTCTTTGGAAGTCCAATCTCTATGCTTGCTTTTTATCTTTTTCCTACTATTTTTATTTCGAACTATAATTGGTTATTTCACAATTGGATTAATGTTTAGAAGAACCTGAAGATTTTGAATTGCTTAAAATGAGTAGGAAATTTACAGCTCCTGGTTCTTCAACTTCTACTTCTTCCTCTCCACCATCTGGAGGACAACGTTCAATACAGACGATGTTAAAGCAAGAAAAAGAACAAGAAAAAGTGACTCTGCAGATGATTATGCAAGGAATTCAAAATATTCAAACAAGATCAGAGAATATTGAAAAGAGAATAGAGAACATTGAACAAAGAACAGAGAACATTGAAAAAAGAACAGGGAAAACCGATGAAAAAGTGGAGAACATCCAACAAATGATGTTGAACTATGATGAGAGATTCCAAAAAATTGAAGAAGATAAACAAAGAGACAAGAAGATTGGAGATATTGATAATAGATTAACCGTGGTTGAACAAGATAAAAGTGGGATGTTGAGATGGGAGGTGGATAGATTAGAATTCTTAGATTCCAAAACGTAGAGGAAGAAAAAGGACAAAACTTAGCTGAGATAATGATAAAAATACTGGCTGAAGCTTTGGAAATAACTCAAGAGAAGATGATGGATGGAATAGATGAGGTTTATCGAGTTTTCACAAGATATGTGATGAGAAATAGTTTACCAAGAGAAGTTCACATTAGATTTACAAAGAAAGCCATTAAAACGCAAATATTGCAAGTGGCAAAAGAGAAAACATTGAAATATAAAGACAAGGAGATTGTGGTCTTGAAACAAATACCCAGAAGAGTGAGAGAGATGAGAAGAGAATGGGCGTTGGTACTTACTTGACACGCCATTTCTAGTCGAGCTGCGTAGAGCATCCAGAGAGTGGGAGGTGCTCTAGTCTTCACCAATTGCAGGCTGAGCTATAATTGAGGAACGCTCCTCCCACCACATGGCTTCTCCATGCGTTCCCCAGTTTTTACGAAGACGAGAAGATAAACAACTATCCCCTCATCTTAACTATAAACAACACTTAACTACAAAAAAACAATATGAATTGTTGGCCGAAACAGGATTCCCCACCAGACGGACCAAATAGGGTGGGGCTGGATGCTCTACGCAGCTCGACTAGAAATGGCGTGTCAGGTAAGTACCAACGCCCATTCTCAATCGAGCTGCTCCGAGCATCCAGAGAGTGGGACATACCAAAGCATGGCCTGTCCTACGGGGGGGGACTCCGTCTGGCTCGGAGCATGTTCTGGATCTCTCACCACTTGCTGAAGGACTCGTCTGCCAAAGGAGGCTTCTGCCGAGGCAAAAACATCGATTTTATAATGGCAAATAAATGGAGATGGAGACGACCAGGTAGCCGCTCTGCAAATATCATGAATAGGAGCCTGAGTAGCCCAGGCTGCAGAAGTAGCAGCACTCCTTGTAGAGTGAGCGGTTACTCCACTGGGAACAGGAAGCGCCTGTGACAAATAGGCCTTGGATATTGTAGCTCTAATCCAACGGCCAACAGTAGACGGGGAAACTTTGCAGCCCAGCATCTTTGGTTGAAAAGATAAAAACAAAGCCTCCGACCTCCTGATAGGCTGAGTGCGACTGATATAGATACGGAGCGCCCGTCTAACATCGAGAGTATGCCACTGCCTTTCTCTCTCTTGAGAAGGACTTGGACAAAAGTTAGGAAGGACAAGCTCCTGTGATCTGTGAAAGGCTGAGTTTATCTTGGGCATGAAGGAGGGATCTGGCCGCAGGACCACCCAATCAGCGTGGAAGACGCATAACTCCTTTCTAATGGATAGAGCTGCTATTTCAGATATCCGACGAGCCGATGTAATTGCCACAAGAAAAACCACCTTGAGCGTGAGGAGTTGGAGTGACGTCTCTCTTAGAGGCTCAAAGGGGGGCTTAGCTAGCGCCGAGAGAACCTTGTTGAGGTCCCAGGTCGGGTATCTGTGAACTACTGGAGGGTGCAAATTAGTGGCACGTCTAAGAAAAGCTCTAATGCAAGGATGGTGGGAAAGCGGGCCAGACAGGTTGCCAGAGATAACCGTAGATAGGGCCGCCACCTGCCTTCTTAAAGTGTTGGGGGAAAGACCTTTGCCCAATCCTTCTTGTAAAAAGGCCAGAATTTGTGCGATTGATGGAGAGATCGGATTAATGTGTAACTTGTGGCACCACTTACAAAATATGTTCCAGGTGGCATTGTATATGCGAGTGGATGAAGGCCGCCTGGCTGCCAGAATAGTGTTGATGACCAGATCGGACATGCCCTCCTTTCTTAAACGGTCCCGCTCAACCTCCAAATGGTCAGCTGAAGCCATTGTGGATTCGGATGCTGAAGAGGTCCCTGGGACAGCGAAATCTTGTCCGGTGGAATCCTCCAAGGAGGAGCCACTGACAGGTTGCAAAGGTCCACAAACCAGGGCCTCCTGGGCCAATATGGGGCCACCAGAAGTAGTTCCGCTTTCTCGAGGATTACCTTTTGGATCACCTTGGGCAGCAGCGGTAGTGGGGGGAAAGCGTATAGGAGCCCTGTGGGCCAAGGGCAACGCAGGGCATCGTGGTTCTCGGCCCCCTGGGTGGGGTACCGGGAGAAAAACCTCGGTGTCTGGGCACTGGATGGGGACGCAAACAGGTCCACTAGCGGAGACCCGAACCTCCCTGAGGCCTCCCAGAAAAGGGAGGGATGCAGGCACCATTGTTGTAACAAAATACTGTTATTTTATTTGCAGCTTTATCAATGAATCAAAAGAGGCTATGTTCTAGTCAGTTTCCACTAAGGACATAAATATATGTCCTTTATATGGGCAGCAGGGTGAACAATTTGAAATAAATTACCATGACCTGGTCCATATTTTCAATCAGTATATTTAATATCCACTGCACACACAAAAAAGGTATAGTCATGAACCCCATTCTTTTTTCACCCTGCACTGTTTAGACTGAACAGGCACTGCATCATAGGATTAACTGAAGGATACAGACTAAAAGATGCATACAGAAGCAAGAAGGAATAAACAAGAATATAAAGTAATTATGTGAAGAAGGGGGCAAAGAACCAGAAAGTAGGTACATCTACATCTATTATACTCTACATCTACAGCTTATGGAAAATGACACTTAGTCCCAGCAGTTTCAGAGAAGGGCAGTACATCTAACCAAGAGCTACAAAAGCAAGAGGATAACTATAGATGCAATTTTAGCAAAAGGCAGATGCGTGGGGGACTAATGGATGATGCATCACCAAGCCGGCTACACAGCAAGGAAAGATCTGGCCTGAGCTCAACCACATCCAGGGTTGAGCACCAGCCTAGTGTTCATGAACTCAAAGGATATTTACATCTTCTAGCGGAGTCTGCAGGCTCATCCCATTAGCCAGCGTGGTTACAAGATTCTAGGAGAGAGAGAGTAACAAGGGAAAGAATGTCAATTCAGAGCTCAACGGGAACTGATCCGGAGCCTGGATTATTTTAACAACTAAGATTTGGAGAGGGAGTAACGCAAATAAAAAAATGATGAAAGTTGACCAACAAACAAGGAAGCCATTCTGGGATGTCTCTCTATGTGAGGGGTTAATGGTAGTTTCCTGCTAGGCTTGCCAATGGTTTCCAGAAAGAACAATTTCCAGAGTTGGAAACCAGCATTTAGGATTACAACAATCCACCCAGAATCACATATGTGAGATGTGTACTATGTCCTCTATGGTAAAAAAAGACTAGCACCCTACCTCCCCAAATAACTTATACATCTTCTATTCAACCATATCACTAAACAGAACTATAGCACAGAGAGCAAGGTTGCCTCCAGTCACAAAGAGGCTCTTTATAGGATTATCATAATCCCATGCCAGGAATAGAAAAAAAAAGTCATCTGAAATGCCAGCAGAGTTGCTGTGCCAAACATCAAGGTCTCAGTTATACACCTACCGAATGACAGCACTCTCTACCACCTATTCCCCTTCAGTATGTTCAGATACAGCACTTCCAAGAGGAATTGGTAAACACAACCGTATTGGAAATAGCTACTTAAACATTCAGGTGAAACAGAATACAAAAGTTGCATGCATTACTTAAGAGATGCCAGGAGTCATCCATTAGGTGATGGGGCTCCTCATACTACATTCCTGTTTGGAATCACCTTGTTCCCCATGTCCTTAGTACTCTTTTATAATTATTTCCACAATACTCTACAAATTGTCAGCTGACATATATCCAGCAGTTATACCACAAGCTGTCAGTACTAGCCGACTCCTCAGAGGGTAAAACTGTAGGATTTCTTTTGGTAGCCTAGTGTGAGTTACCTGTGTGCCAAAGACAAGCATCATCACTACATGCTCCCTAGCTGCAACTGCTCTTACATTTGGTTGAAGGACAATTAAGGCAACCAGCTGTCTACTGAGATGATAATCTTCTTTAACTAATGAAGGAGAATATATGTGTCCCAGGATAATGTTGCAGGATCCAATCTAGCCTAGAGAGAAGTTCCCTGAAGATGGGCTCTAGTACGAGTCTGAAAGCTTGGAAGACAAAACCTCTGGTCCAGGTGAATGACCCAGATTGGATCCTACAATCTTCTTTAAATTGAAGGAATTGAAAAAGAAGTTAGTAAGTCACTTATTGGGGTTAATTTGGATTCCTACATCAAGCAAGGGATATACCTGTGGCCTAAATCAGCCTTCAACTTGAGAACTTCCAAAGTACTCACCAGTAAGCAATGTATGGTAAATGCCCAGATCAAGAAGCTTGGTCTAAATGGATCGTTCCAATTCTATGGGCTCTATTAAACCAAACACCGAAGGGCAGGTGGGGTTGGGGAACATCTAAAATGGGATGAGCTGGAAGATGGTAACAAGGATACCTTCCCTACAGTCAACTATTGGGCCCTGTCATTCCCATTCTAGGAAGAAAACCAGCAAGAGAGAGTCCAGGATGGTATGACTCCTCCCTCTGATGTCATCGAGCTGAGTCTGCCACTATATGAAAAGCCAGCCCCTAGCTGGCTCCCCAGCTTTTAGGCAAAGATTGCGTGACAGACATAATGTGCATCTGGAAGAGAAAATATCACAATGAAATCACCTCCCCCCCACCAGGACCAGATGCCAAAGGGTGGGGCTGGACTCTCTTGTAGCGCAGATAGAAAGGGCATTCTCAGGTAATTATACCAATGCCCATTCTCATTCACGCTGCGACAAGAGTCCAGGATGGGACATACTAAAGCCTGCATGTCCAAGGGAGGGCCCTCGTTTGGTCCCCTCACTCCGACTGTGGGACAACCTTCTGTAAGACCTGTCGTCCAAACGCTGCCTCAGCGGAGGCAAATGAGTCCAGTTGATAGTGGCATATAAACGGTGACGGGGATGCCCAGGTAGCCGCCTTGCAGATTTCCTCAAGTGACGCTTGAGTGTTCCAGGCGGCGGAAGTAGCCCCACTCCTAGTGGAGTGGGCTGTAACATTCCTGGGTACCAGCAGGGACGAAGGCTGGTAGGCTTTAGAAATAAAAGTTCTAATCCATCTACTAATGGTAGATGAGGAAGTCTTACTGCCCAATGAGGGCTGGAAAGAGACGAACACAGCTTTGGACTTCCTAAAGGCCTCAGTACATTTGATGTATATCTGGAGAGCTCGCCTCACATCCAACGTATGCCATTTGCACTCTAAGTCATGGCGAGGCTTGGGGCAAAAATCTGGCAACACAATGTCTTGTGCCTGGTGAAACCAAGAGTTCACTTTGAGAACAAACGTAGGGTCCAGTCTGAGAACCACCCTGTTCTCATGGAAAATACACAGGTCCTGACGAACCGAGAGTGTCGCTAGTTCCGACACCCTACTGGCCGAAGTAATGGCCACTAGAAAAACCACCTTGAGGGTCAAAAATTGAAGGGACACTGAATTAAGGGGTTCAAATGGCTGTTCTGTAAGGGCATGTAATACTTTAGGAAGGTCCCAAGTGGGGTATCTATGAACCACTGGAGGGCGGAGATTAGAAGCTCCTTTCAGAAATCTGCGGACTGATGGAGGGATAAGGATGAATAGCCTTCCCAGAACAACAGAGATGACAGAGCCGCCACCTGACGGCGCATAGTGTTAGGTGATAACCCCTGATCTAACCCATCTTGGAGAAACGTTAACACATCTGCTACAGATGCAGAAGTGGGGTCCCGGGCTGACCTGGCACACCAAGTACAGAAGACCTTCCAAGTAGCATCATATATGAGGGTGGTGGAAGGTTTACGGGAAGCTTGGATAGTCTCTATCACCCTATCAGGCAGGTTAGAACCCTCAGAGATTGCTGCTCAAGCACCAGATGGCTAAGCAAAACCACTGATGGTCCGGGTGGAGTAAAGTTCCTTGATGGAGGGAGATCTTGTTGACCGGAATCCTCCACAGCTGGGCTACAGACAGATTCACCAGGTCGGCGAACCAGGGTCTCCTGGGCCAGTGGGGCACCAGAAGTATTAGCTCCACCTTTTCCTCCAACATCTTCCAAATGACCACCGGAATGATCAGAAGAGGAGGAAAGGCATAGAGGAGACCTGATGGCCATCTGTTCCAAAGCGCATTGGTCCCCTCTGCTCCCTGGGTCGGGTACCTGGTAAAGAATCTGCTTACCTGAGCGTTTTGAGAAGAGGCAAAGAGATCTACTGCCAGAGTTCTGAATCTGTGGGACAACTCCAGGAACAAGGACGGATGGAGACTCCACTCCAACTGGTTGACTCTGGACCGACTCAGCCAATCGGCCTGGGTGTTGTCAACCCCTGAAATGTGATCCACCCTGATGGAAAGAAGGTGAGTCTCCACCCACCACCCCAGGCATTCTGCTTCCCTCATAAGGGCTCTGGACCTGGTCGCCCCATGCCTGTTTACATGTGCCTTCGCGGCCACATTGTCGGTCATCACTAGCACATGACAGCCTGTCACCCTGTTTTGAAAATGCTTCAGGGCTAGGAAGATGGCCCTGAGCTCCAACCAATTTATGGGGCAAACCCTGTCCACCTGAGGCCAGGACCCTTGGGCAATCTTGCCAGCTAGAAGGGCCCCTCAACCCTGGAGGCTGGCATCTGTGGTGAGCAGAATTCTGTCTGGTTCCTTGAATGGATGCCCTTTCCAGAAAGCCGGGGATTGCCACCACCTGAGGGAGCAAAGGACCTGAGGTGGAACCTGAACCCTGGAAGGGCAGCAGGAACCACTGAAGAATCCGGGTGTGGAGGCAGGCCCAAGGGACTATGCCAAAGCAGGAAATCATTTTCCCTAGCAGCTTGGACAGGTCGGACAAGAGAATTGTACATTGCCATTGAGTCTGAATGATGAACTCGTAGAGGCTCTCTCCACGTTCTGGGGAGAGAAAAACCTCACAGATCAACATGTCGATGACCACCCCAAGATGAAGCAATCTGGTCACTGGATTGAGATGGCTTTTCCTGAAGTTGATGGAAAACCCGTGGTCTTGCAGGAACTGCAGCATGATGTGAAGGTCGCAAGAGGCGGATTGTATCGATGCGGACCAAAATGTCATCCAGATAATACTGGACCCTCACTGGAATCGCTCGGAGTGAAGCCCACCAAAGCTGCCAAGATTTTGGTGAAGACACTGGGGGGCAATGGAAGCCCAAAGGGAAGGGCCTGGTACTGGAAATGCCTGTTCTGGTAACAGAAATGAACAAACTGGCAGTGATGAGGCCAGATAGGAATGTGGAGGTAAGCCTCCGTAAGGTCGATTGAAAAGAGGAGATCACCCTCCTGAACGCTCTCTAGAATTGAATGCAAGGTCTGCATCTTAAAACGCCTGTACGGGATGAATCTGTTCAAAACTTTGAGGTTGAGAATGGCTTGCCACCCCCCCACCCCCCCGAGGCCTTTGGGATCACAAAGAGGCGAGAGTAGAAACCAAGCCCTTGTTGATCCACCGGAACTGGCTGAATGGCTGTGATGTCCATGAGGTGTTGAATGGCTGATTCCATCAGGGCCCATCTCGAACTCTCCCTAGACATCGGGCAAGAGACAAAAAACCTTGGGGGTGGGGAGAGGAACTCCAGTTGGAGGCCTGACCTCACCATCCTGAGCACCCAGGCGTCCGATGTCGACTCCTCCCATCTGGAGGCAAAGAAGGCTAAACAACCTCCGATGGGTGGGGAGAAGGGGCATTCACTTTGAGCATCGGAAAGAACGACCTCCTCCTCCTCCTCAAAAGGGCCGTTTACCCAAAGTCTGCTGCTGTCTACCTGCCGCCTCAGGATGCTGTTCCTAACGAGGAGAAAATGTCCTCTGGCCCCTGGAGAAATAAGCTGAGGACTCGGTCTGGTAGGATGAAGGACGATAGTAAGGAGCGGGACGGAACTCAGACTTCCTCCCCAACGAGGAGAGAACCTTCCCCTTGTCCCTGGTTTCCACCAAGTAT